CAGGCCCTGAGCCTTATTAACAAGCACCTTCTGAAATGTTTCTCTAAAGATTGAATTACTTCTATAGATAGACCCTAATTTACCTAACTCTTTTCCAATAGCTGCATCTTTTTCCAAAAGATTTTTTTATTGCTGTAATTAGGACTTTTAAGGAGCAGGGATTATGGTTTTGGTATGCTAGCTAGAAGATGGATCCTATCGCCATAGGCTTTAAAACAGTAGAATTTTTTTTTTATTGAGGTGAGTGAGGATGTGGTTCTGATAGTCTTTCCTAGCATTCTTAAAGCTCTGTCTCAACCCAGCTCCATATGAGCCAGGCATTGTAGTTCATTCCTGTAATCCCAGCACTCAAGAGGCAGAGGCAGGGTCAGGCAGTCAAGCCCATAGCCCATTGGAGACCAGCTTGGACTACATAAAACCTGTCTCAAATACTGAGACAGGATTTCACTATTGTTGTCCAGGCTGGCCTTAGAGACCTGTCTCTGCTGTGCTGGAATTAGGGCATGCACCACCTCACCCAGCATGATCACTATATTTTGACCAGTATCTTCTAGTCAAATTTGGGAATTTGGGACCTGTAACATTGTGGCAGACAAGGTGGGTCACAGTCCCATGGTGACTGGAACCTCTCAAGTGTTCATTTAACTCTGCCAGGCATCTACTATGAACCAGAATGTAGCAGCAAGGACCTCGACCACGGGGTTCTGGTGGTTGGCTATGGATTTGAAGGAACAGATTCATCTAAGAATAAATATTGGATTGTCAAGAACAGGTAAGACTCAAAATGTTGTATTTTAAATTGAAAAGGGAATTTTTTTGGGAGGTTTTCAATATTTAGATGCAAGTTCACAGACGTTCAGATTTTAAAATCCTGGATGTCTTACAGAGTGAAGGATTTGTGTTTTAGGTTCTGAACTAAGCTTTTATAGGTGAGATTCATATATATTTGTAGCATTGAATTTCCAAATTTGGCTTAAATTTCAATAAGCCTATAAGACCTTGTGATTTCAGCCTGCTTTTCTTTAGTTTTCAGCAAGAGATGGCCAGCAGAAACCTCAGCCCATCCCCCTGTGTTATCTTCATTTTGCTCTCAGCAGCCTTAAAGCCTGTCAAAATTAAATCTCACAACTAATTATTTTTCACTGAGATACATCGTTCTGTTAAAATCTAGTTTGCCTCGATGGTGTAGCTTGCCTAGAATATGCAAAACTCTAGGTTCGGCCACCACGTAACACCTGGTGTGGTGTGCCTGCTTGTATCCCAACACTGGAGGGCAAGGTCCAAGAATTCAAGGGCATCCTCTCAGGGAACCAGTGAGGTTAACCTTGGCTACACAAAACCCTGTCTCAGAATTAGTGAGGGGCTGAGGCAATGACTTGCCATCCAGTCCTGTGGACCTATGTTCATATCCCCAGCACCCACATAAAAGCCATGTACTGCAATACACACTGTACCCCCAGTGCTAGCCACCAGGGGACTGTGAGCTCCAGGTTCAGTGGGAGATCCTATCAAAAAAGTAAAAGGAGGATATGAAGGCACCAGCATTGACCTATAGCTGCTTCCACACAGTAAACGGGAATGAATGTCTCTGTGTATTTATGTGTAGATCTTAGAGCACTCAGAGCTAAGTTCAGTCCTATTTTCAAGTGTTAATTATTAATCATTCTCATATTTCTTGAATCTCTTTCAGCTGGGGTACTAAATGGGGTATGGACGGCTTCGTCCATATAGCCAAAGACAGGAACAACCATTGTGGACTTGCTACTGCAGCCAGCTACCCTACCGTGAATTGATGTGGAGTGGTAATGAAAGACTCCTGGACACTGTGTCCAAAGGGATGTATCTTAAAACTGACCAAACCCTTACTGAGATCATAGTACTTGAATCACTGAAGATCCAAGTCATGATTTGAATTCTCTGACATTTTTACATGGGTTAAATGTTACCACTACTTAAACTACTCTACACACAGCTCTATAATAGTGAACACTCATTGCTTAATTCTGAGTCTGGAATATTTGTTTTATAAAGGATGTATAAAGATTTCTTTAGCTTTTAAAATAAATTTTAGTTCAGTGTATATAGGTGGGACTTCCTTTTATAAAGTGCTGACAAATGTTGGGGACTAAAGACTGGCTTGGGGTGTTGTGGTACAGCATGAAAAACGTGACCAGTGCTGCTGGGCTTTCTTATTTTAAAGATAATAGACTTAACCTCAGCTTCCCTTCTGGTATATGATAAGTTAGCTATGGGGTAGTTGTTGTTTGTTTGTTTACACCTTCATTTTCTGTTTCTGTGTGTGTGTGTGTGTGTGTGTGTGTGTGTGTGTGTGTGTGCTTGTGTGTGTTAAATGTGATGCATGCATGCTGCAATACATGTGTGGAGGTCAGAGCCTAACTTGGAGGAGTCAGTTCTTCTACAGTGTTTGTCCTAGGGATCAAAATCAGGTTGTGAGGCCACAGTGCCTTTACCACAAAGCTGTGTTGCCAGCCCCACTTGTTTTAAGTGGCATATAATTACATATGTTTTTGAAATATAATAAAATGTTTTGATACATGTATAGTATGAAATGATCAGATAGGGCTAATAAGCTCACCTCAAATATTTTATCACTTTGTTTAACTATTTTAGCTGTTTTTTAAAGTGCACAGTATATTACTATTAGAGATAATCTTATTTATCTAACCTAGTCTGGCCTTAAACCCATGATCCCTCTCCTTCATCCTTTTAAGGGCTAAAATAACATGCGTGTATTATACCCAATCTCAACTCATATCTGAAAAACTTGACAAATCCAGAAGAATAAGAGCAAATTGTTCTATACAGTGGTTCTCAACCTTCCTAATGTTGTGACCCTTTAACATAGTTCCTCATGTTGTGGTGATCCCCCCACCATAAAAGTATTTTTATTGCTACTTCATAATGTGATGACCCCCAACCATATTATTTGTTGTTTCTTCATAACTTATTTGTGCTACTTTTATGAATCATAATTAAATATTTTTGGAGACAAGTTTGCCAAAGGACTCTAGAACCATAGGCTGTTCTAGAGTGAGCAGACTACGTGAAAAACTTTACCCAGTAAGCCACAGCTGTGTGGAGATGCACAGATTAATAGAAATGGGTTAACCAAAGATTTAAGAGTTAGCCAATAAGTTAGAGCTAATAGACCAAGCAGTGATTTTTTTTTCAAGATTTATTTATTGGTTATATGTGTGTGTGTATATATATATAGCAGGTTTTCCTGCACACCAGAAGAGGGCATCAGATCTCATTACAGATAGTTGTGAGCCACCATGTCATTGCCAGGAATTGAACTCAGGACCTCTTGAAAAGCAGTCAGTACTCTTAACCTCTGAGCCATATAGTTTCTGTGTGGTTATTTCGGGTCTGGGCAGCTGAGAACAAACAAGCGGCCTCCCCTTACAGGAGACAGAACATTTAGTTGAGGTTCAGTCCATTATTATGGTGCAACATGGTGGCCAGCAGGCAGACATGGTACTGGGGAAGTAGCTGAGAGTCCTACATCTTGCAGGCAATAGCAAGTGAACTGAGATTCTGGACAATATCTTGAGCAATCCCTGAATGTTTTTCAAGGATATTGATAGGCTTGAGAAATCAAGTCAGAAGCACAAACCTACAATAGAGTTTTCTAGCATCTAAGTATCATAATGTGTGTTTTACTCTTTTTGGGGGGCACCCACCACCCAGTTCCCCCCAAAAAAAAACATACATGGAGGCTTATTCGTTATGAATGCCCAGCCTTCTCTTGGCTTGCTTCTTGCCAGCTTATCTTAAATTAACCCATTTACCTTTTATCTCTTGACCTTTATCTTCTGTGTGTCTTTACTTCTTCCTCAGTGGGTATCTAGGTGATTGGCCCCTGGTCCTCCTCTCCTTGTTCTCTCTTCTCCCAGATTTCTCCTGTGTATACTCTCTGCCTGCCAACCCCACCTGTCCTTGCTACTGCCTTGGTATTGGCCATCCAACTCTTTATTAGGATCTTCAGGTGTTTTAGACAGGCAAAGAATCACAGCTTCACAGTTAATCAAATGCAGCATAACTAAAGTCACATACCTCACAATAATATTCCCCAACAGTTAAACTGCAATGGAAGCATAGAAAGGTGGGAAATGATTGCTTATCAGGATGACCAGCTCAGGTCACAGGGTAAGTTATGACACAGGCATCTTATTAGAATAGGGAGGGGCTTAGAGTAAACAGGAAACCCCCCCATAGCACCAGGATGTCTCGTTTGTGTTTTACCTGTGGCATTTAAAATTAATCCTTGCCAGGTGGTGGTGGTACACACCTTTAATCCCAGCACTTGGGAGGCAGAGGCACACAGATCTCCGAGTTCAAGACCAGCCTGGTCTACAAGAACGAGTTCCAGGACAGGCTCTAAAGCTACACAGGAAAACCCTGTCTTGAAAAAAAAAAACAAAAATAAATAAAAATAAAATTGATCCTTTATTACATTTATTTACTGGGGGTAGAACGTGCATGTTGTAGTTTGACTTCCTATCTCTTACATTTGAATGCTTGGTCTCCAGTTGGTGAAATTGTTTGGGAAGGATTTGGAGGTGTGTCACAGGAACTGAGGGGTTTCTGAAGCCTATGCTGTTCCAGTTAGCTCTTTATTCCTCATAGTTGTTAACTCAACATATAAGGTTTTATCTAGTGCGCCAGTGCCATACCTGCCTGCTGCCATGCTTCCTGCCATGCTGGTCCTGGACTAGCCTGAAATTGTAAGCAAACCCCTAATTAACTGCTTTTATAACTTGCCTTGTTAATGGTGCTTTGTCATGACAATAAAAATAACTAAGAAGTAAACATTGAAATATATGAATGTTCCTTATCCTCTATTTTTAAATGAAGGCCTTACCAGAACTGGCCCTAAAACTTTTTTTGCTTTTTTTTGGCAGGGGTAACTCTTTTGTTTGTTTTCAAGACAGGGTTTTTCAGTAGCTATAGAGCCTGTTCTGGAATTTTCTCTTGTAGACCAGGCTGTCCTTGCACTCACAGATCCCTGTGCCTCTGCCTCCCCAGTGCTGGGATTAAAGACATGTGCCACCACCGCCTGGCTCATTTTAAAACTTTTGTAATTCTTGTTATTTACTCATTGAAATGTGTGTTAGACACCTAAGCAACAGCTCTGAGCTGCCTCTGGGGATGAAAGAATTAAATGAATAGTCGTGATTCTTTCCAACCTACACTTGGCCAGTATGTTTGGATCATACTGTGTGACCACAGGGGAAGGCCAACAGGTACCTATAGTCAGAGTATCATTCGCTTGCATATTAAAATCCCCTCCTGTGAGGTCACAATTGTAATCAACATCTCCCACCCACCCATCTTTTTTCTTTCGCTCCTTCCAAGTTTCTGAGCAGTCAAACCCTTAGCTGCAGACCATGAAATCAGTATATAGACGTGTCTGGTCACTTCCTTCTGGGAAAAATGAATTATCAGGGCTCCCCTCACCCTGTCCTGTAGGAACGTTCCAGACAAGCAATGTAGGACTGCCACTGTCACTCTGGTGCTGTATGCATAGCGCTACAAACCCACTGTTCCAAGTTTTAATTATCGAGAGCTTTCCATGATACCCTGCTTGTAGCTGGAAAGAAAGTGACAGGACCAAGGGTCATCAGCTTTTAAAACATGTTTCTGCATAACTTATCAGTACTTCATCACGCTCAACCATATGTGTCATTTCCATTGATCAAAATTTAGGTCATGGTGGATCACACAATATTGAATCTACGGCAACAACTTGCTTCACAGGGTAACTAGATGTCACATGACCCAAAACAACTGACCTGGAGAGATAGCACGGTGGGTAAAACCACTTGCCATGGAAGGGCAAGAAGTTGAGTCCAGATTCCCTAAAGCAAAACCAAGTAAAGTAGCATGTGCCTCTAATTCCAGGGCTTCTACAGTCAGGTGAGAGGTAGAGACAAGAACCCCCAGAAGCTCCCAGGCTGGCTAGTCTGTCTGCCTTACACAGGGAAGAGCATGAGACCCTGTTTGAAACAAGGCGGAATGCAATTATTGACAGCCAACCTTGACACATGCACTACAGGCTGTGGACATACACACAAGGTAATTCTCTGAAGAGGATGGCTGCTTTCATGGTCCCAAGGCTGCTTTACCACTGTGAATACTTCATCCCTATCTCAAATCTTTGTGTATCACTGAGGCTTGGAACTGTTGGGTCGTATCGTCAAAGTGACAGAACATCATGGACATCAGCCTGAAGCTGCTGGTCTCACTCAAAAGCCACGCTTTGGGGGTTATTTGAGGTACGGGCTATGGTGACAGCTAAATGTGTCGTCGTCGCCATCCAAAGGGGTCCCAAAAGTTGGGTAGAGGGGATGGATGCAGCAATCTCTTCTGGATGAGGCATCTCTCAACATTTGCACTTAACTGGACAAAGAACATACATCTTCTGGCATGATAGACACTCTACCAACTGAGCTACATCTCTAGCCCTAACTTCTTAACTCTACCCCTCCCCCTCTTCCATGTGAGTTGTGGGTTGTCATGTGTGTGCTAGGAATTGAACCTGGCTCCCCCCGAAGAGCATCAAGTGTTTTTAACTACCGAACCTTCCTTCCATTCCCCTTATATTTTATAATAAAAAAGATACATACTGTCAAGACACTGAGTCATGGTTGGTGATATACATGCAAAGGCTTTAGCAGAAGTATTTGTTCAGTTGGAAGCTCTTCGCCCAGTCCTCCCCATTTCAAACCCCGCCCCTCTCAGAAAGATCACCAAAAGTCCGGGCTCCTCCCTGGAAATTCAAGACCACAGCTACAGGGTGCCCCTGTGGCCCCCTACCTCCGGGGATGCTGGAGAGTCACCCAATAATCTTTGGCCTAATAAACCTGATCTTTTTAATTCAGCTTGATCTGGCTTACTGCGTCGGCAGAGAAACCTGATAGTGAGTTACAAAAAAACCTATAAGTATTGAAGTCTGCAAAACTTAAAATAGTTTTCCTTTTTTTGTGGTAAAATTATATGTAGAATTCATCACTTAAATGTACAATTCAGTTTCACTAAATGCCTTACAATTGTCACATTTCCATATCCAAAACTTGAGTTCCTGAAACAGAAGCTCTGCACATCCACTGTGTTTCTGAGCTCATCCAGCAAGGTTTTATTTTGTTCGTTACATTTTTCAGTTTTCTCATTTCTACTGTTTCTTTTTGTATTTCTTTCTTTTGGGAGGGGGTGGAATGAAGAATGACCTCAAACTCACTGTGTAACTGAGGACTGTATGTCACCCTTGAAGGCTGGATCCTCCAGCCTCCTCCTGAGTGAAGGTATCACAGGTATGCACCCACACCCAGCTTTTAATGGGATACTAGAGATCAACCTAGACACTTCGTGAATGCTAGGCAAGTCCCTCTACCAACTGAGCTACGTTTCCAGTTCAGAGGAGTACTTTTACACTTTTCTTTAAACCCATAATTGCTGGTTGAAGTGCTCTTTGATGGTCACCTAAAAACCCTCATCAAATAATTATAATATCTTATTTGCCTTGGCATTGCTGCCTACTGGCATTTCTCCTTATTCTTGTGATGTTGCTGATTCTTAGTGTCGCACATGACTTTGCTGTATCCTACAGACAGAGGCTGTGGAGTGGATCCGAGCCGCCTTTAACAGCCATAGCTCAAAGGTCAGGTGGCTGTGTTTGTTCAGCTTCCTGGTTAAGCTTCTCCAAACCATCCAGACGGACAAAAAAACAAAAATGGGGCCCTGACTCATGTTGCATAGCTGCAGAGGGTGGGGTGAAAGTTCAAACCCTCCCTCCCCCACAGTCACCTTCCTGGTAAATTGGGACAGTGACTCAGGCAGTGACCTTATTGACTCTGAACTAAATTGTGTGACCAGCTCTCTGACTAATTACTATCTCTCAAGTGGGGAGAGGGGAGGTAAAAACAGAAGGCTGGGTCAGACCTTTGCTACATTAGAGGTACAGATGTGTCAGCTCCCCTCTGGTTGGAACTGACACCAGAGAAGAGGCAAAACAAAATATAAACTCCATTCTACGTCCTTGTGATGCCAAAGAAAATTGGAGGGTCAGCTTTGTTAGGAATTTCTCCTAACGTGAGCTCTCTGCCGACGCAAAAATCCCAATCAAGCCAAATCACAACAAGCCAAATTAAAAACATCCAGGTTTAATAGGATTCCTGCGCTCTCGGGTGGCCCTGAACCTGGGGCGGGGTGGGGGGAACACCACGTGTTTCTCCTCTAGGAACTCATTTAAATACCCTGTGGCCCTGTGGCGCTGTGGCCCTGTGGCCCTGTGGCCCTGTGGCCCTGTGGCCCTGTGGCCCTGTGGCCCTGTGG